GCACTGGAGTGAACTTCCTAATTCATAAATCAATCATTCTACACACACACACACACACACACACACACACACACACCAAGAGAGAGAAAGAGAGATGCTTCCTATTTTCCTCCAAATGCTTTAGGAGAACACAACCAGTTCTTAAAGATCTGCTGTTTCCCCAATAGCTTCTCTTTGAAACCTATACTCTTGCTAAACTGTATATGTGATGGTCCCTGAATGGCGATGCTCTCTTTTTCAAGCTCTTTCCTTGTCTGAGGCTCAATACCCTTGGGAGGCAGTCCCTGATCACTTGCCTCTGGGCTGAGGTGCCCTTCCTCTGCACTTCCATGACTCGCTGTGCACATCCCAGTCAGAGCATCTATGGCACTGAATTGCAACTTTTAGTGATTTCTCTCCTGGAGGAAGAATTGTATTGCTGGGCCTTCACACAGTGCATAGCACAGTACCGGTGCTTAATAATGTTTACTGGATACATGAATAAATGGTGGGAGATGATGCCTTTTATAAAGCAGATAAAATTTCCTGACCTTTTCAACCTTCTCTGTTTCTGTGGAATGTAACACATCCATCAACTAATGTCTTTACCCTACAATCTTACTATATCCTACCACATCACAGTTAATCTCTTGTATGTTTCCTTATATGCTGGGAGCCGGTCCATCCTTGCTGTTTCAAGGGACCTGGCATATATGGCATACTGTTCTTAATATGTTTGCTCACCTTCTTGGCACTATGTGTTTTAACCAAGGTCACCTCTCTGAGAAAGGTTGTTTCCCCAGCGTTTGTTGTTTTGTTGATGATAGCCAGTCTGACAGGTGTGAGATGGTACCTCATTGCCGGAGTCCATTCATTGTCTTTACTAGCTGGGTTTGGACAGAGACCCCTCAAAAAAGGCTAGTAACCTTTGAAGTTTTAGTAAAGGTCAGAACTGTGAACTACCCAGTTAATTTAAGTAATAATGGTTGAAGAACATGGACACAGAACTTGGCTGGAGATTGTGGCTAGAGATCCTGGCAAGGCTGCTGATCAACTGAACGCTGTCTCCGTGTCATTCCTTCTTTGCCGACTCCGTCCACACCTTTGGGGAGCCCTGGACCTGCTGGGGTTGGACCCCAGCACTTATAGACTACAACCTTCACAAAAAAAGCAGGTCAATGACTTCCTTTCAAATGGGTTCTGTCTCCTTGCATTTGTGTACAGCAGAGGACATGAGGCGTGTGGTTTTGTCTGTCTCTTAATGTCCACATTTCTGCTCTTAGAGTTCTCTTCATCTGGTGGGTGTCCAGCAGCCAGAAGGACAATGCCGAATGGAATATACACAAAGAAAGTGACATCTTCTGGGGCCAAGGAGGACCGGGCCTTCTGGAGGGTGACCCACAGGCCTGGCAGCATGAAGTGAATTAGATGACATCATTCTTTCCAATAACTTCTGTGTTCAGTAGAATTAAGCAGTGACTCCCCAATATTCAATGTTTAACATGAGGCGCCCAAGGAAACCAAACTATAGAACTATAGGAAATGATGGGAGCATTCAATGGTCAGAGGTTGGAAAGGTCATGGCCTTTCCACTTTTGTCCACTGTTTTTACACTGGGTTAGTGTTCTTCCATGCCATTGCTTTTCAAACGGACCAAGGCCTCTTATTCAGATGAGAGGGGTCAGGAGTACCAACATGTGAAAGTCAACATTCAAGTTCCCACTTACAAGAATGACCATTTCCCACTGCTCCCTTCCAAGAAGTAAATTAGATGAGATCACTATTTCCAATAACTTCTGTGTTCAGTAGAATAGCAGTGACTCCCCAATATTCAATGTTTACCTAGCAGCACTAGAGAAATATTGGCTAAGTGTATCTTTATAAATTATAAAACAGTGCTATAGGTTCCACTTTATTCAAACAAATCCTGTTTTCTCGTAACTGCTTTTAGCCCTTTTCTAACATTAGCTTGCCATGGACCAGTGCACTTCCCTGAGCTCAGCCCCCTGGCGTAAAGACAGTGCCCAACAAAAGACATTAAGTGATCTAGCGGGCTGGGTGGAGCTGTAAGAGAGGAGAAGGCACTTAACCCTTGGCTGGTGTGGCCCAGTTGTTTAGAGTGTCATCTGTGCACCAAAGAGAATTGCATTCCTGTGGGTAAAACTGTAATTCCTACTCTTGATGAATTCATATTGTTCATTAGTGGGGCTTTAATATTTTTCTTTTATTTTTAGTGTTAAGTTAGTTTAGTTACTACATTAGTATTAATTATGAAAGTCGTGTTAATTAGTAATATTACATTATAAACATTTTGCTAAGTAAGGTGAACTAATAATACAGATAACAAAATAATATGTGCTAAAAATATTATTTTCGCTCAATCCAAATATTTGGAAATTCTTGTAGAGATACCTTAATTATCCACTAAATAAAGTTGTTTGGCAATGCAAAAAAACCCACTTGTGTTTTCAAGCCTTTACCAAGTTACTGAATTTTGTTCAATGTCTACAATATGAAACTAACATATATGTACCCGTGACATTAAAAGTTTTTTATGTCAAAGAAAATGGGTTTATAAATTTGTGTTTTTACAGAAGCTCTTCAGAAGCAAGCTGAGCTATTTCATGTCAGGAATGCTTTCTTAATACCACTTCTAATGTCAAAACAGTGAGAATAATGAGGCCTATTACTCATAACAGATTTTTTTAAAACTTACAAGAACAACAATTACACATCTACAAATAGAGCTCATGAAAATATAAACATGCTGAAAATTCCTTAAATACTTAGTACTTGCCTCTTTTCTCCACTTGTAGATATCTGTTCAAGGAGCGTGCACAGGCATCGAGAGCACCGAGTCTGGCAAAACACAGACTCCAGCCTCACATCGCTAGTAACGCACATGGAGAGATGGGAGAGGTAACCATCTAAGTTAGATAAAGGTGGAAGCGAAAGGCCCGTTTGGAGTCTGGAGAGCGAGCTCCAACTTGGAGTAATCAATGTTGACTTTATGTGGAGGTGAAACTTGAGCTAGACCTTGACGGAAGGACAGGCTTTAAATAAGCAGACATGTTGAGT